GATGCGGATGCGGTAGTCAATGGAGCTGCCGATGGGATACTGATCATGTTGATTTTCTTTGTACGGTGTGGGTTCTTGCGAGTGTACATTATCCGTCTTTCTCTATGCGCTAGGGTCGATCACTTGAAGGCTGTTAATTACGCCTTCTGCATAGAACTAGGAGTTAAAAATTCAAGAGAACACGTTACTTCCATGTCGCACAGGATTGGTGGACTGTATCATGATCGTACCTTTCTTATCTGAATTGAGTCTATGAGAAGACCAAACTGACATAAGATTCGGCGCTCGGTGCAACTAAATCTTGGAGTCCGCGACGAAATCTCCGCTGGCAACCGTACAAGCATACCCCCAAAACCTTCACAATGCCAACAAGTTGCAGAGTTGCGACTATGCATCAGGACGCGCAAACATGCAGATTACCGGTACGGGTAGTCGTAGGTGGCACCACCCAGCGGATCCGGAAGGGACACCAAATGCTGCGTCCGCCGTGTTAGGGCACCAAGATTCGTAATCGGAGCAACACAGGTGCTACGAGGGAGATATTCTGCCCGAGATGGGCGGAGCGGAGCCGGATGTGTCGGCACTCCAGAAGCAACGCCCAAACGACCAATGTGTCTTGGGAAGTGGGTAAGGGAGAGTGCCAAGCTGATCACCACTGTATATCACACTGCGAGTTCGAGGCGATTGAAGCTCTTCACGATGCTGCAAGCCCGTATAGACAGTGGACGGAACCAAAAGCAGTAGCGCTACCGCATCGAGGCCTAAAATTAACCTCGTAGATTTGGCTGGACACGGTGGCGCTAAGGTAGGACTGATTGGCCGTGGAGATGAGGCTTGTGGCTTACGGGCACGTGCCTGAACAACGAACCCTGCATCGTCTTCGCCCCCTTCAGCAGTCGCCTTGGCGTCTGAGGATCCCTTTCGGATAGCATCTTACTTGGGCCTTTTGTCGTGTACCCCCTTGGCCCTCCCCGCCTCGCCTTGTCTCTTTTCTCCGGCAGCCCTCCCCGAACCGCCTCATCCTCTTTTGCCTCTCTGTTGCTGTCTCTGGTCGCTGCAACTGCATCGTCCGCGTCTGAAGCCACACCGGACGATCTGCTGCACCGCCGCAACCCTCCCCGGCCCACCCGCTACCGTGCGACAACCAAGTCAGCCCGCGCCTGCCTCGTCCTACGCCTTCCCTCGCATTGCCAGCTCGCGCCTTCCCTCTGGCACTGGCATGAAGGCATAGCCCATACGAGCCCTCCACCGTCGCTCGCTACATTCTCAACTCAATATCACATACCATGGGTACGTCGAACCCCGGACACCGCCTAGACCTTGACACATGGGCGTCGGCATACCACCTTTCAGAAATAAGACACACCAGGGACTAACTGAACACGCAGTTGAGAAGCGCCCTTCAATCGAGGGTCTCGTCGACAATGTTGACCCCCGAGAGTCTCACGAGCTCGAAGAGCTGCCCACTTTCGAGAAGCCCGTAGCCGAGCCTACGCCAGTACCGCTCAAGGAGAAGCTGATAACGTGTTTTTGGATCGCCTTGAATACGCTATCAACACTGGGCTTGATCTTCCTGAGCAAGCGGTATGCAACATGCAGTAGAGCTAGTGGGGGACCCGCTGACAGTCGGATAGAGTGTTCAGCGACAAGCAGCTCAAAGGATGCCAGCTCATGGTCGTCATGTGGCATTTCACAGCCACCGGTCTCGTCCTCTTCATCTCGACACTCCGACCCTTTCATGCCTTCAAGGCCGTACGGCTGAATGTCTGGAACATGCTGCCCGTCTGCGGCTTCTTCGCCGGCTACGTTGTGCTTGGCAACCTTAGCTTGACCTTCAACTCGATCGGTTTCTACCAGCTCTCCAAGGTCATGACTACGCCGACCGTCGTCCTCATCAACTTCGTCCTCTTCCGAAAGCAGGTTACACGATACATGCTGGCTGCCATTCTCGCAACATGCATTGGCGTCTCCTTCACCATCAACGAGGCGGCCAAGACCCAGCTATTCGGTGTCATCGTCGCGACCCTGGCATTCTGCAGTACCGCTCTGTACCAGATCTGGATCGGCAAGAAGATCGAAGACTTCGCCGTCTCGCCACCCCAACTTCTCCTCAACCAAGCGCCAATCTCCGTCTGCCTCCTCATCCCCTTCGTGCCCTTCTTCGACACCATCCCGAACCTATCAACCGTACCCACCGACATCCTCTGGAGCGTATGCGCCTCCGGCATCATGGCCTCGATGTACAACCTGAGTCAGTTCTTGATCATCGGTCGCACCAGCGCACTCACCTTCAACATTGTCAGCCACCTCAAGACCATCATGATCCTGAGTATAGGGTGGTACAGCGAGGGCAAGATATTGAGCGGAAGAGAATGGTTCGGTGTACTCCTCGCGCTTGGCGGTGGATGGGTGTACTCGCATCTTGCGCTCAAAGCAAAGAAGCAGGGTGGAAAGTGAGACGCGAAACGACATCATTGGAGTCACACGCGCGTGCTTGGGGCAGACTTGGTTACGTCGTACAACGAGCGTCTTGGGCGGATACGAGAAGTTTCCCTTCTTTGGCTACTTCCACGCTTTTTCGCATTTCTGGATTGAGATTTCACGGCAGACGTGTTAGAATGGGGGAGTTGCAGCCTCTTCTTTGATCAAGACTTTTTAACGCCTTTTCTACCCCCGCGAAAAAGAAAACTTTACGACGACTAGATTGGCTGAACGGTTCGGAAACCACGGACGCTTTCTTGAGACCTTTCTTTCTAGGGGCGGTTCGGCCGGGAGTTTGGAGACCCCATCTTTCTTGTGTGTATGCTTCTAGCATCTTTTTTTCCCTTCCACCTCTTTTTCCTTCTATATATTCGGGTCTCTGTGAATGTTATCGATCGACACGGCGCTATATACTCCAATGACATAATTCTGAAAGTTCAACATGCGGGCTTTCGTCGTAGGTGAGATGGGAGGCTGTGAGGTGGTACCTATTAGCCATTCCGATTGAAGTGAAGACTTAAGGCAAACCGGGGGCGCCTTACCCTGATTTCGGCGCAACACACGCATCGCAGGCGAGGTGACTTTCTCTATAGCAGACATGACAGCATCGCATTGTATGTACATCACTACGCAGGTCCCCCTTCATTGGACCCCACAGTATACGTATGTACTACATCACAAGTTTACCAAATTCATTCCTCGAACCAGGCGATCGATCGGCAATGATACACAGCCACAGCTCACTATCTAACTCTGTCTGACAGGTTGCCAGATGCGCATGCTAACTCCATAGTAATGTTCTTCGCTGCTTCCATCAGAGATTGGTCTAAACCCGATAAAGGACACCGAACTGCTGGTTTCGGGCCGACGTAGGCTTTGCATCGAAGGTTGCAAGTCCCACGTGATCGGCAGAACGGGGGCACAGCCTCGCTTCTAGCGTCCTTCCCTCCGCCTACCGTAGACATTGGTTTGTGGACTCAGCCCTGCGAAGCCCATGCGGTAAATGATGTGCAACATTTGTGGCATTGCGAGACCCTGTGCGCAGTATGTATGCGCTTGATTACTTCCTAATCTGTGTTGGTCGTTTTGTTGATCCAAAGGTGGGGGATGCCTTATCCGAGTAAACGAACTGAACGAACTGGATTGGGTAGTGGTCGGACGCTGGACGCCTGGTTGCTGATGGGTTGAGGCTGGGGCGGTCACGTTTGTGGGATTAGTGGGGGATGCGACTGGATGTCGAGTGTAGGTGGGACTGGATTGGGGTAGGTGTTGTGACGGTAGTCGGTGCTGTTGTTGCTGTGTTCGGGGGGCCTGATGACAGTGCTGTGTACGGGTAAGGCAGATTCTGTGGCTGGTAGTGTAGTGAGGTGAGCATGATGAGTATTGTGGGTGAGTATATAGGGTCGAGGGTTCCGTGGGAGGACGAGGGCATATCATCATCACGAACCAACTTTCGACATATCCACGCTATCTTCTCTAACAGAGAACCCATACGCATCTTCGTACTTCACTCATCTCAAACCCACATATCTTTGGATATCAACATCACCCAAGACCAAACTTGACAAAGTCATACGATCACACATTCACATCCCGCAATCTACAAACCTTCCCACCGACAACACAAACCAACACAAACCAACACAAGCCAACACCCGCCAAAATGGGCTGTGGAATGTCCAAATCACCCTCCGAATACCCGCCCCCGATGCGGCAGACAAAGGTCTCGAAGCGCAACAAGCGGCATTACGGCGGCGGTAGCGACACGGGAGGCGCATACGCATACACAGCAGGATACGGAGGCGGCGGTGGCTTCTTTAGTGGAGGAGATGGTGGAGGTTGCAGCGGTGGAGATGGCGGCGGTGGTGGAGGTGGAGGAGGTGATGGAGGCGGTGGTGGTGGTGGTGGTGGAGGTTGCTAGGGGGTGTAGGGGATAGGGATTGGCGTTTTGGGTATACCATTTGAAGGTTTTAGGCGGGTGTATTGTTGGGTTTCGATGGCTTTAGAGGTGATCCCTATGAATCATGAACTTTTTGGATATGTCTTGGTGTGCAATTTACGCATGCGATGTTCGGAACTTTGGTTTTGGTTTCGTGAATCACCTGCATTCTCCGCGAATTTTGGAGCGGATGCAAACCTGAGTATGGATGGAAGCCTAGAGCCAGCTGATCTTTGCGGTAAGTATGTTGAGCTTTCGGCCCTTAGTTGTTCGAACCTGCCTAATTCTGTGCGGCTGAAGTATGCTTTAGGACCTTGGAAGGATTGCCAAGTCAGCTGAGGCATTCGTATACGAATGCGACGTGCCTTAAAACACACAAGAGTTCTATCTTTCCCGACTTCTGTAAAATAGGTCGGTACTACTGCATCGATCAGGTGCTATCGCAGGCGACTCGATTCGTTAGCATCTTGGGTAAGTGACGATGACGTCAGACTGGTCTGAGCTCGTAGAGCGCATGGCAGACGCTTTTGCCCGAGGGGTAGAGGAATCTCGGGCTGCATCATCGCCGGCGCGTGCGGGTATGATCTCGGATCATCTCCAAGCTTCTCCTGATGAGCAATACCGCGTCGAATCCGACACAAACGACACAAAACAGCCTCCCACAAACGGAGGAGACCAGGAAACCCCATCATGCATCATATGCCACCATTTCGCCAACGGCGTGGAAACCAGCACGCCAACGGCAGACTTTATTGTTTCTGCTGGCGAATGTCAGGGATGTTCAATCATCTTGCAGGCTCTTGATGCCGTCACCGATATTCGACGGCCGGAATTCACGACCATCGATATTAGGCGCAAAGAGGCGGTTGACCATTGGCACCTTTTTGACCCCCAGAATGTCTTAAATGTGGCCTGCAAGCAGGAGGGTGAATCATATGGCGGTGGGGTGCTGTTTGGCCGGAAGTATGTTGATAACAGGCCGAATGATTACCAGATCTACACTCCGGTTGGTAAGTTCTTTACAGCTAGTCAGGCTTCTTTCTATCAGCCTAAGTCACCTTTAAAGGAATGAGGAATGAGGGAGTGTTTGAAAATGAGGCTAACAGCCTAACAGATGCTGGAGAAGACTCTGCTATTCCATGGCTCGGTATACGCAATAGTGAAAACGACAAGTACCGAGAGCTATTAAGCAATCTCGAAGATCGTTTGAGTCAAGCGCGCAGCTGGTTCGAGCAATGCAAGGCTGATCATTCGCTGTGTGCACCAGACAAGGGTGAATGGCCACGTCGTGTCCTCGATCTCGCAACTGATCCTATCCGCCTTGTGGATAGCGCATCGATTGCATCAGCCTCAGCACAACAGCAGGAAGGTTATGCTTGTCTCAGTTACGCATGGGGCACGACCGGCTCCCTCAAGACGCTGAAAAGTAATCTCGAGACCCATATGCAAGGCATCGATATTTCGACACTCCCTCGCACCCTCGCCGATGCCATCCACGTGTGCAAGGCTTTTGGCTTGCGATACCTATGGGTAAAGCAACCAATACATGAACTGTATCTATCCCAGAAGCTGACCTCATACAACAGATTGATGCGCTATGCATAGTACAAGATGATATACAAGACTGGACGGACCAAATTCCACGCATGAAGTCCATCTACCCAGGAGCCGAGCTGGTCATCTCGGCACAGAGTGCATCCAGCGTCCAGGAAGGATTTCTGTCCCTCAGCCCTGCCACGAATGCACCCCTCAAACGTATTGAGGTACCCTTTCACATGCCAGACGGCACGTCTCGTACAGTTCAACTCTCCATTCGCGAGCGAGAGGAACAATACTGGAGCAACCCAGCACATCATTCGTCGCGCCCCAATATAGAAGATGTCGACATCGACGAACTTCTCACGCCCCTCGCTACCCGCGCATGGGTGTTCCAAGAGAGCTTCCTAGCGCGCAGAATACTATATGCTACACCATCTGAACTAGCCTGGCAGTGTAGCCAGCACGAGAGATGCGAGTGTCGGAAGGAGGCAAATGAAAACGCCGTTCGATATATCGGCGAAGACGACCATTTTTTCAACGTGCGTACTCTTGGTCAACTACTCTGTGTAGAAGACTCCCGCGCGACCGACCAACCCAATTTCAACCATTCGAAACTATGGGCCGAGATTGTAAAGCGGTACTCGGAAAAAAGACTGACCAAATGGACTGATCGCTTAGCCGCAATACAAGGCGTAGTGGGAGCGTTGCAGCAAGCCATGCCTGACAAGTTCCCGGAGGAAGATTACCTCTTCGGGCTCTGGAAATTGCAGCTAGAAAAGTGGCTGTTGTGGCTTCGTCCCCATCGGAAGCAACCTGGCGACTCAGAGGCAGTTGCTACACTGAGGAAGATGGCGCCATCTTGGTCCTGGACGACGACTATTGGAAACATCATGTACTATGAGTTTATATTTGATCCGGAAGTTGTAACTTACACACGAGTCGTGAACTGGGAACACAAGAAGCCTGATAGCTCTGAGACAGAGGTATTCGGAGCGGGCAAGTGTGAGTTGACGCTCCTTGGTTTTTGCCTCCCGGTTCGGTTACCGTTTTCGGGTCACGAGGATGAAATGGAGTTGGGCTCGTATAACCCTTTCCTCATCCCCGAACGCTATGCATCCTCTGATGCCATCGGCCCCGCAGTCATCGACATGATACCAGACGACCCGACGGACACAACCGTGTTGTCCCGCGTCACACATTTCGCGCCTTTAGTAGGCATCCCGCAAGTGTTCGGCGACAATCCAATGTTGCGTTGCCAGGGCTTGTTTCTGGAAAAAATAGCTGGCCCAGAAGATGAGGGAGGGCCGAGTACTTGGGAAGTTGATGGTGTCACTCTCAAGGTCGAGGGTACGTTCAAGAGAGTGGGATTTGGCTATGATGATTGCAGATATATGCATCTTGGCTGGGATGATATCGAGGACCAACAGAGCGAGCTTCGTGTATTTAAGCTTATTTGATATAGGACAAGGCGTAGGCGGGCGGTGACACTGTGTGTGGATGTGATCAATGAAACCAGGAGATGTTTAAGCCTATCGTGTCATTTCTGCACCCGAGATGCAAAGCTTCTCGAGTCAAACTGCGATCTCGTTGACCTATTATGTCATTGTTCTTACACAAGACGCTGAGGAAACGTCATTGGCAACATAGCGACACTAGCAAGGCTCTACTTGAGCCAAACACGCAGATGTTGATGTCACGTCCTGAAGAAGGAAATGGTATAGACGGGCTAGATGAATACGAAAGCGTCTGGATAAGTCAACTGCTGCCTCATATGACTCTCAGATAGCTACGGCGTACAATGGCATGATACCCTGAAAGCGACACGATGGTTCGTCGCGAACTATCCCATTCTACTTGTAGCCTCAAGTTCGAATAAACCCCCGATATCCAGCAGCCTGTACCTTCCTACTCCTCGAACAGATCATCCAATCCATCGTCTTCTCCTTTCTTAGCCTATACAACTTCTTTCGTAACGCTGTTCTTCTTTGCCTTCTTAATCAGTCGTGAAGAAGGCAAGACATGAGACGGTATATCATCCTCCGTTTCACTCAACTTCCGCTTCTGAGCAGCGAGTTGTGCGAGTCCAATTGCCTCAATTTCAGCCCGGAATGCTGCTTCTTTCTCTTCGGATGTGGGTAATGGTTCGGGTCCGTCCTGGGCGTACCGTTCGCGTTCTTCTTGCTCTGCCTTTGCGATGCCTTTGAGGAGAGCGCGCTCTGGTTTGCTCATATGTTGAGATTGAGATTTCGTGGTCGCGTTGCGCTTCGTGACGAGTTCTTCTTCACTGTGTTCATTCTCAGAGTCAGAGAAAATCGGGGCTGGTGGAAGTGTGGTCTTCTTCGTCACGCGGCGACGAGAGATGGTCTCGACATCTTCATCAGGATCGATGGCGACCGCGGACTTCTTCGACTTCGACGAGGGCTTGGTCACCGATGGGCTCTTCTTTGTCTCCGTCGCGCGTTCAGGTCGAACCTGCTGAGCAACACCGGCCAATCGGGCGTCTCGTTCATCTACCGTGGTCGACTTGAAACGGTCGACAGGCTCAGCGGGAATTCTAGCAATCTCGCTCAAACCCTTGCGCTTCCGGTTCCGAGCTACCTTCTCTTCTGCAATTTGCTTCGGGGTCTTACGCTTCTTGATAGAAGGAGACGAGCCTGAGACTGAAGCTGAAGATGACTTGTCGCGACCTTCCGATACATCGTTGTTGACAGGCTTTGCCGCGCCGCTGGTTTGACGAGACTTCTGAGCTCGCAGCAGCGCTTCCCCAGCCAGCTCCTTGCGCCGCTCCGCCGCATTGAGGCTCTCGCGAAGCGCTTCTTTCTCATCGACAAGCTTGCTCTCCTTGCCACGGTGGATCTGAGAGTACATGTTGCATAGCTCGCGTGTCAAGCGCTGCTTCGCCGGAGGTCGTCGGCACGATATTCCGCGGTCGAAGTCTCGGCTCACTCGCTCATTGTCTAGTCGAGTGAATTTCTTGATTATCCTCATCGCCAAGGCATCAGCCATCTTAGTGACATCTACGCCAGCGCAATGTCGATGCTCTGCCCAAGGTGAGGGGTCCTCGTATTTTTCAATGTTCAGAATCCAAGAGCCTTTTCGGTTGTCGGGGTCGTCCATGTTCCAGTCTAGAAATAACTCCAAGTGTTTACACAATGGCACTGAAGAGTACTGGTCCCGTTTGGATTGCAGATGGTTGGTGTTCTTGACTGCGAATGGATGGCGCTCGAGGAGGGGGTCCTCCGGGTGGTACTGGTCGTTCTCTCGTGGGGCCTTCTGAGCACGACTCAACCCCATCGCACCAGACATACTGGCCTGTAACTGTGACCTTGAGGTATTCGCTCGTGCATCTGATCCTTCTGATTTCTTCTCTTCTGCAGTTTTTCTCCTCTTCCTATCTTCCGTGACCACATCGCGACAGGTCTTAGCCTGAGCCATGATATCTCCGAACGAGGTCTTGGAACGGGTCTGTCGAACGACAGTTTCTTCATCCTCAGACTCAGATTCGTGCACTAGCTCTTGAAGATTCCTCATGCCTGTGATGTAGAGGTGCTGACCATTAGATGTTTTTGGCATTTTGGCGAGACGACGTGTGTTGTAGCGGGTATGTATTTCGCGGTGTGTCAGATAGTTGGATTGGGCGATGTTGGAAAGCTGGATGATGTACAGGTTAAGCTAGGTGGTGTACATGGCGCGGCTAAGAACGACTGAAGCGGCGGAGCGCACAACAATAAGAAGGTGAAGAGGCGTAAAAGTGAATCTGTGAACACGAGCAAGGGGCCCGGCGCATTGAGACAATACTATTGTAGAGTCAAGTTGTATTGTCGGGCGTGACTCGCTTTCACCTTCACTTCCGGTGGTCGCGCATCGCTGTAACAATTGGTAGCAGTTGGTGAAACAATGCTATTGTCATCGATCGGGAAGCTGTCGCGATGGTTGGACAGAGACGCAGCGGCAGAACTGAAGTGAGAGAGAACTCGCGGGGTTCAATAGACTTGAGAGCGATTCAAATGCTCCCGACGGCGTAGCTGAACAAAATCGAGGTGAGAGAAACTACCGGGGCCCACGATGGCGTAATTGATCAAAATCGAGGTGAGAGAGACTATGGGGGCTCAATAGACTTGAGGCAAAAGTAAGCGCTCACCAGGGCGTGGCCAAACAGGCTAGAAAAGAATGTCTAGATATCATGTTGTCAATACTGGAGGATGGATATTAGGTTCGCGAGCAGCTGAAGTCTAAGCTGCAACTCCCTGCTTAGCCTTCAAGTACTCTGTCAAGTACTGCTTCCGGTACTGGTTCTCATCCGTCTCCTTTCCCCTGTTTAGCGGCGTCCACTTCGGGTCTTCCTTGAATAGTCGCATAGCCTTGATGTACTAGCAAGACATGTTAGCACTCTTGACTCCCAAGTTTTCCCAATTTTCTCATTCACTCACGTTCTGCTCATCAGTAGTAAACCGATGGTAAATGCCCGGCGGCAGAATAATCAAATCACCCTTCTCAAGCCAAATCCGCACCCAGTCATCGCCCTCGCTCCTGACATCGAAGTAGCCCGCACCGTCGAGAATGTACCGGATCTCCTCATCTTCGTGTAGGTGCTCGGAGAAGAATGATTTCACTTTTTCTTCGTAGATGTCACCCATCTTCTCTGGACTGACGATGATCTCATCCTGGTTCTTGTAGTTGCGCGATGTAGCAATGGGTTCCACGCCCGAGACTTCTGGTACGCTGTGGTAGATGACACCGAGCTTTTCTAGGTAGTCTGGGTCGACTGAGCGGCCGGAGTCATGGGGCTGGCGTTGGTCGCCCTGTGGAGGTTAGGTCATGTGGATGTGGAGACTGCAAATCGAACACTTACAGGGAGGTTGTCGAACCAATATGCCTTCATTTTGCAGTATATAGTATCTTTTCGTTGTAGGTATCGCGAGTAAGGTATCACAGCAACGTGTTGTGGAGGTTGACTTTGCCGTTGGGTATGGAGGAAATTATTTGAGATGCCTAAAAGCACGTGGCGAATAGCGTCATCGGGATTACCTAGCGGGGGTAAGCTAGTCAACCGCCTAAGCGCGACATTCACCACAACCGCCCAAACTATAGAGACTGTAGAGCTAGCTGCTAGCTATAAAATTATTACAGCTTTAGCTATATTTAATATCTACCTTTGCTTTGTGTATATAGAGCTATATATAGTTAAAAAGCAGTTACTCTAATTAGCCGCAAGAACCTTAAACCTTATTAGATAGAAGTTTATAGACATTACGTAATAACTACACGCATAAATACTTTAGTAGAATATTAAACTATTCTAACTATAATACGCCGCTACTATTCTAAATAATAATATATTATGTATACTACTCTAATAGCCTAGCGCAGCTACAAAAGAAAAAGAGCTCTTAGTATAAGCTACTAGAGGTAAATGCTCTTTATAGAAAGCCCTTTATAGAAGACTAGTAAAGCTATAAGCCTCTACGCAGTAGGTATAGAATTATTAATAATAGGCTCTCTATAGAAGACTAGCAAAGCTATAAGCCTCTACGTAGTAGGTATAGATCTATTAATAACAAAAAGCGTTAGAAAGTCTACTATAATAATAATAATAACATTAAATAAGAGAAGAAATATATTAGTATAAGAGAGCCTCTTTCTTCTACTATACACGCTCTAATATAATAATAGCCTCTTCTCTAAAGCTGTAAGTCTTCTTAGCATTCTAGTAGTAGAAATCTTCTCTTTCTTCTCTAGTAATAACGTATCTCTACCTTTCTACCTTATAAGACACATCTAGCTTAGCTTCTCTACTAATAACGTTACTACGCTTATTACTACTATAGACTTAAGCTAAGACTAATTAACCTTCTCTATAAATAGAATACTAAAGCTATAGGCTCTAAACTCTCTCTATTCTATAAAAAGCCTTGCAGAGCCTCTAGAGAAGCCCTTAGTAGAGCTACTAGAGAGGCCTAGCTAGCAGGCTAGTATATCTTTAAAGATAACTAAGAATCTAGTGTTAAAGAGTTTAAGTACTATTAGAAGATCTTAGAGGCCTAGTTAAGAAGTACTTTCTAGAATACACGTTAAAGAAAATAGATAACTTTAGCCTAAGTAGAGAACTAATAGGTGTCTTCTTCTCTTAGCAGCAGCAGCGTCTCTTCTCTTAGTAGCAGTAGCTCTTTCTCTCTCTCTCTAGGTAGTAACTAGCTACAAGAAAGAGACAAATTAAGCCTAAATAGAGGAGACAAACTAAGCCTAAATAGAAAGAAGATAAACTTAGTCTTAGTAGAAGAGAGACAAACTAGAACTAGAGTTACCTTCCTTCTCTCTAAGAGTTAGAGCTACTCTCCCCCCCTCTAGAGCTAGAGCTACTCTCTACCTTTAAGACTACTACTACTCTCTTCTCTAAGATCGCTGCAGCTCTTCTCTAAGTTCTCTACTACTTAGCTAACTACCTAACTTTAACTAGGTTAGAGGCTAGTTTAACCTCTAATACCGCAGTTCTCTACCTTAAACTTACCTAGAAGTTCTACTAAAATACTTTAACGCCTAACTTTAAAGCTAATATCTTCTCTCTACACTTAGCCTCTAATACTCTACTACTATAGCTCTTCTAGAATGCTTTAGACTAAATAGCTTCTAGCTTAAATAAGAAAAAGTAATTACCTACCTACTTAATAGAGGCAGCGTAGTTATTATATTCTCTACTAGAGGTAGAAAAAGCTTATGCTATTAGAGAGATAGTAAGAGTCTTTACTACTAGAGAGAGTAGTAAGAGTCTCTGCTACTAGAGAAGACAGTAAGAGTCTCTACTACTAGAGAAGATAGTAAGAGTCTTTGCTAGAGAGGCGTATTATAAGTAGTTTGTAGCTTTCTCTTCTCTAGTTAGTAATTAGAAACTTCTATTAATGTAAGAGTACGTTTCTAATATAAACTACTAAATACCTAATAAACCTCTCTTAAAGAAGCCTTCTATAAGCTCTAGCAGAGAGTACTCTTTTCTAAAACACACTAAGCTAAGCCTTCTATAGGTAGTAGTAGTAGCACTAAGTTAAGCCTTCTACGCGCTAGAACTAGTAGATAGTTTCTGCCTTAGTGCTGTTACTACTACCTCTAAGTCTACTATTACTCTTAAGCCTGCTGTTGCCTCTAAGCCTACTACTGCCTAGTTACTATTAGAAACTTCTGTTAATGTAAGAGTACAACTCTAGTAGAGTAGTCTACTCTTTTCTAAAATACACTAAGCTAAGCCTTCTACGCGCTAGAACTAGTAGATAGTTTCTACCTCTAAGCCTGCTACTGCTTACTCTTCTCTTTCTCTAGCTACTATTAGAAACTTCTATTAATATAAGAGTACAGCTCTAGCAGAGCAGTCTACTCTTTTCTAAAACATACTAAGCTAAGCCTTCTATAGGTAGTAGCACTAAGCTAAGCCTTCTACGCGCTAGAAGCTATAGATAGTGCTACCTCTAAGCCTACTACTGCTGCCTAGCTACTATTAGAAACTTCTATTAATATAAGAGTACAGCTCTAGCAGAGGCTACTTTTTTCTAAAACACACTAAGGCTAGCACAGCAGTTATTCTCTAATACATATATAAATAAGCTAAGAACTCTAACACGCAATACTAAGCTAAGCCTTCTACTTATAGGTAGTTTCTACCTCTAAAGTTGCTGCTACTACCTCTAAGCAGCTCTTACCTCTAAGCAGCTCTTACCTCTAAGCTACTACTACCTTCTCTTTGTATTCTACAAGACTAGATACTTCTATTAACATCTCTCTAATATTTAGACACACACTAAATAACCTAACTTAGGCTTAATAGCTTTTAAGCTAGAGGTAAGTTTATACTTATATTACTATCTTATAGTATACTAACTCTCTCTTTAGGCTTAATAGCAGCCTTCTAGAAGTCTATATTACTAATAAGGGCTCTATATACAGCACTATACTAAATAGTAGAGGCTGTCTACTAATACACCTACTAACTTCTTTTGTATAGCGCGCTAGAGAGCTACTATATATAAGTAATAGTAATATAATTCTACTATATTATCTAAACTAACTCTATACAAACTAACAACTAGTAGTATAATAGCTAGAATATAATAGTATACTCTACTACGCTACTCTAAAGAACTAGGTTTAATACACTATAGTTTCTATAACACTACTTATGCTAGCTGCTCTACCTCTTACCTCTTACTACTACTACAGGCGTAGCATTTACTAAAGTTTCTAACACTACCTATACTAGCTACTCTGCCTCTTGCCTCTTACTACTACTACAGGCGTAGCATCTACTAAAGTTTCTAATACTACCTATGCTAGCTACTCTGCTCTTACTACACTACTTCTTGCTGTAACTACAGGCGTAGTATTTACTAAAGTTTCTAATACTACCTATACTAGCTGCTCTATCTATACTACACTGCCTCTTACTACTACTACAGGCGTAGCATTTACTAAAGTTTCTAACACTGCCTATACTAGCTGCTCTACCTACACTACACTGCCTCTTACTACTACTATAGGCGTAGTATTTACTAAAGTTTCTAATACTACCTATACTAGCTGCTCTACCT